TGATTAATGTAGATCATGCCCAAAAAAAAAAAAAAAACCTAATTTTAGAGGTTTTTAATGATGGCTCTTGATCTAAAAGATAAGATAATAAATAAAATTAATAAATGTACATTATTGCTACATTTGTTCACCTATTTTTACTTGGGATGAAAATGTACTTTTCTTCAAACTTTTTGAGATTTTCCAGGTTGTGTAATGATGGAGAAACGGGAGAAATTGAGAAGCAAGAAACTTTATGCACATTACATAAAGCTTGGAAAGGGCGAGTGGGGATGGCAAGGGGGCAGGTCATGGTCGAGGCAATCTCCCTTGTCTCCCATCTCATCAAGCAATTTTCCGCCCTGTTACTCCTTTAAGGTGGAACGGGGCGGGGCCCTTGCCCCGCTTAGTAACCTATTTAATTTTTTTTTTATATATAAAGTTTTTTATAATTCATTTTATTGTCTCCATTCATTAAAGTGGGACAATAATATATTTTTAAAAGTAAAATTATTCAAATGTATTTGGTAAATTAAGGTTTTTATTGTTTATCATATTTTTAGATAATCTTAGTTGCAATTTTCTATTAGAACTAATTTTTCGTTTAAAGTATTAAATTCTAAAAAAAATTTAAGCGAGGTGGGGTACGCATTACCCGTACCCGCTCCCTCCCCGACCCCGAATACCCGATTAAGCAGGTAATCTCTGCGCCATTCGGGGCGGGGCCTGCGGGTATCGAGTTTATCTAATTTTTTTGCCATCTCTAAGGGCGAGAGTGTCCACCTATTTCTAATTGGAAAGAAAATGATGGTTTTAATGTTTGACATGGGAGACACCAAAAGTCTCAACTAGACAAGTTTGGTATTTATCAATTATTATGGTTTGAAAACGTACTCTAAAATATCGAATAATTTTAAAAAAAAAATGAAGACTTTTTTTTTATACTTTGTTATGTTATCTAGTTACGATCTTATTTACCGAACAATTTAACTTTTTTTTTTATTCGTACTTGTCTTTCATGTTATAAATCTATTAAAGTTTTCGTTAAGGTCATAAATTGTATACTCGATGTACCGAACAATGAATTTCAACAAGGAAGACATGTTTTGTGGATTAAATTGTTCATTTATAGACTTTTTGGTGCTCACTTGAATAGATTCAACCAACAAAACATTAATTGAATGAACCTGGTTCAAAAAGTTTCCACTCAAGAAAAGTTGCGGCCATCTTTTTCATTTTGGATCCACAGAACAGCCAACCTACCCAGATTGATTGAACCACGTTTTCAATCAACCTTTTCTTGAATATATACATACATGTATGTGTACAGAATATAATTACTTTTTACTTTTCTTCTTCTGTAAGCCTCCTTTTTCTTGAATAAAAAGTAAAAAAAGGGTATTCAAAAACAAAATGCGTGTACAAATCTTTTTCAACCAAATGATGTTTACTGAAGAAAATAATTGTACTAACAAATTTGAATAGATAATTAAATATGGATTGGTGGGCAATCAATCTACAACGCTAAGAATCAACATTTATTTTTTCTACAATTTCACACTTGAAAATATATTGGCCATCAAATCCGTTTACTTTCTGTGACCTTTTCTTCTTCCTCACGTGGAAAGTGCCGCATCGCACGGGGAAGCTGCATTCCTCTCTCCTTTTCTTCATTATGAACCAGTCAAATCGGTCCTTAAACCAAAAAATCTAAATTACTAAGAAATTTTTTTTATTTTTTTTTATTTTTAACGATAACATAAACATAGTTTCTACGAGCTAAATATCATTCACGATAGTTGTACTTCTATACTTTCATTATATTCAATCAGATAACTGTCGACTTCGTTTTTTATACCGTTGACATGGACAATAGATATCAGACTCACTCGCGTCATCGCAAACTAATTCAAACACGTTTGGACAGATTACTAGTCAACGATATTTTGGATTTGAATGGGAGAAACAAAAGTATTCGGACGCCAACATCATATATGAGTAGAATTGCATGATAAAGAATAATCAACAATACAGAAACTAAAAGCTAAAATTAAACATCTATCTCTACCAATCAAAGATTCTACTCGAGAGGAGAGTATTTGTAACTTTAAATAGATATATTTGTTTACGTTTCATTTTTATTTATAGTTTAAATTATTGTCTAATTCCATCTCTTGGATCTACGAAAATCGATAATATAACAGTCAATAAAATTATGCCACCATTTATTTCAATAAAGTTTTATTTATTTTGTGTCTACAACTAACGATTAAGTATGATAATTATTCTATAATTATTGTCACGCCATCGATTATCTCTTATAAAATTGGACAAAGTTATCTTATTTGAAATAAAACTAAAACGTAGTTATTTGATTGAAGTTAAATTAAAGTGTGGTTACCCGATTGTAATTATGCTAAAGTTTAATATACGATTTATCAAAATTAAATATAGTTTACCTCGGATGAAATTTATTCAATTTTTACAAGTTGCTAACCTCGTCTTTTGTATAAATTCTTTAAAACTCCTTTTTTTATAAACTTATTTTCAATTATACATTTTTCTAATAAAATAATTTTACACTTAACCCTTTTTTTTTTTTTTTTTCATTTCACTATTTATCACTATTAACCCAATCTATTTTCAAAAATCTAAATCAAATAGTTCCATATATTTTATTAATTTTTCTAACAGTGTTTATCTCTATTTCTGTGCGTCCAATACGTTGGTCCCAATGAAACCTGGCAACAATAGTGACGCACCGTCTTACGTTAACTTTATCAAATCCTCCTTGGCCTTCTCACTACACACACGCTCGCACGCCCGTACCAAATCGTCAAATTTCTGGTCTACGCGAAAGTTTTTCTTTGTCTCTCTCTTCCTCGAACACTTTTATATACACTTGCTCATTGCACTTGTAGAAGACTTCTCACAAACTCTTGACCTTACCATCTCTTCATTTGCCCCATTTGAAGCTCTATTTGATTGAATTCTAGATAATTTATGGACAAAGGATGGTGTCTTACACTTGAAAATTCTGATCCTGTTGGGTTTTTCACGAGCAAGCCAGATTTGGGATTTAATTTGAGCCCAAGGTTAAATGTTAAAGAGGGTATCAATACTATGTTTCCGGTCAATCTGAATTGTAGAGAAGAACATTCTACTTCGTCTCCGGCCGATGAGAAACGGGTGGTTTTAGGAGAAGTAGACTTCTTTTCTGACAAGAATAGGCCCATCAAGGATATGGCTGTCAAAAAGGAAGATTCACATACTGATACCGCAAGGGAACCTGATGTTAACGTAAGTAGTAATATTGGTTATCATATAGAACTTTTGGCCATGCAGTTTAGATTATTACTGGTGTTTATCAGGTTTTTTGTTACTTTATATCTGTATAGATCGGTTTGCAACTTGTTACTACTAATACTGGAAGTGATCAATCAATGGTGGACGATGGGGTTTCGTCTGAGGTTGAAGATAAGCGAGCAAAAAATGAGGTAATTAAGGAGATCCAATTTTGGAGTTGGTGTTAACCATGCTCTTAAATCTTAACTACAGTATGCTCAATCTTAAATTAAATTTCTAATTAGATCGTTATTGTTTTTTCTGGAATATAGCTAACACAAATAAAAGTTGAGCTTGAAAGAATGAATGCTGAAAATCAAGGGCTAAGAGGGATGCTAAGTCAGGTTAGCAGCAATTATAGTGCGTTGCAGATGCATCTCGCGGCATTAATGCAACAGCAGCAAAATTCAACAGCACTTGATAGAACACAAGATCATGAGGTAACATTTACATTAATGATTGAATTCAATCTGTATTTTTATAGTTTTTCCGTTGTTTCTGTGTGATGATAATATAGTAATATTTGTGGTTCAGATCTTAGATAGAAAATCTCAAGAGAAGAAACAAGAAAATGGAGGCGCAACAGTTCCAAGACAATTCTTGGACTTAGGCCCTGCCAGGGAAATTGATGAACCGTCTAATTCTTTATCAGAAGATAGAACAGCCTCTGGATCACCTCACAAAAAGATTGGCCGTGCTGAGAGTCCAGAATCAGACAGTTGGGGTCCTAACAAGATTCCCAAGTTGAATCCCACAAAGCCGATCGATCAATCCACTGAGGCTACCATGAAGAAAGCTCGTGTTTCTGTTCGAGTCCGGTCAGAAGCTCCGATGGTAATTATGAGTTTATTACATTAATTCTTTTTGAAATTCAATTTCTAAATTTCGATATCCAAGATCAAACCCTATATCTGATTACTTGCAGATTTCTGATGGATGCCAATGGAGAAAATATGGCCAAAAGATGGCAAAAGGAAACCCATGTCCACGAGCTTATTATCGTTGCACCATGGCAGTCGGTTGTCCAGTGCGCAAACAAGTAAGTTTTATCTTCACAAATAATTTTTTTGAATTCAATGTAATTTTAGCCTTTTAGACTAATTTTATGTTATGGTTAATCACAGGTTCAAAGGTGCGCCGAAGACCAAACAGTCTTGACGACAACCTATGAAGGAACCCATAATCATCCACTGCCTCCGGCTGCCATGGCCATGGCGTCAACCACCTCGGCCGCAGCCAGTATGCTTCTTTCAGGATCTATGCCAAGTGCAGATGTTTTGATGAATCCCAATTTTCTTGCAAGAACCATTCTTCCTTATTCATCAAACATGGCAACAATTTCTGCCTCAACTCCTTTTCCTACAGTCACTTTAGACCTAACTCACAGTCCAAATCCATTACAATTCCAAAGAGTACCCCCTACTCAATACCAAGTCCCATTCCCGGCCCCTCCTCAAAACTTCGCTTCAGTTCCAACCCCACAAATGCCTCAGGTTTTTGGGCAAGCCCTGGTCAACCAGTCCAAGTTTTCGGGGCTACAAAGTTCTCATAATATTGAACAAATTCAGCCACCGCAGCACCACCAGTCCTTCGCTGAAACTCTAAGCGCCGCCACCGCAGCAATCACGGCTGATCCCAATTTCACTGCCGCCCTTGCCGCGGCAATCAGCTCCATCATGGGTGGCTCACGTCCAGAAATTGGTAACACTACCAATAACAATACAAACTTAAATACAAGCACTAGCAACAAGTCCAGCAGTTTCCCGGGGAATTAATCCAAGCGTTTCGGTTATTTGTTTGTGGCAATTTTTTTGTACTTATATCAAAAATACATTTCTTGACGTTTTTTCATTCATTGTGTACATTCTATGTTGTACACTTCTGTTGACATTGCTTGGAAATTCAAAAAGCGTTGGGTGAAAAGTGTTTTTTTTGGAAACTGTCTAATCATGCTACAACACGTGACACAATGTAAAAATTGTATCGAATAAAATGTATATGTAGCATGATTGTCGTGAAATTTACATGTTCATTAATTTTGTTTTATGTCTTGCGTACGAAGTAGGAGAGTTTGGAACGCGAAATACATTTAACCGTGACCTTTATCCGCAGCTCAAAAAGTCATGCATGAATGCTGAAAAAATCTTTATTATGGTAAATTTCTAGGGTTTATCTTCGGTGTCAGTTTCAAATAATTGGAAAAAAAAATTAAAAAAAAAATAGATTCAGACAATTTGGATAGAAAGTTTTAGAAGAATCGTCAAACTTTTGAAAGGCCTATAAGTCAATAACTTCGGCCATTAGTGTTTGACACGTAAATGACAAGAAATGCACGCGACTTTTAAATATAGAAGAGGAGACTTCAAGGCAACTTACTTTGATTCTTTCAATCGGATCACGACAAGAAAAGTGTTGTTCACACCTTTAGGAAAAATCATTTTCAAATTCTTCTTATTTTTTTATATGAAATTATCTATATTGTCAAGATCGGATCCGATCGGCCAATTGAAAAATTAAGGGCTTGTCTGGGAGAGCTTTTCCAGCCAAAAAATTGAATTTTTGACCGTTATTTGCCAGCATATGGGCCCCATTGTGAGAGCTTTAGTCAAAGAAATCGGCTGGGAGAGCTTACAACGGTCCAAAAAGCACTACAAATTGGGTTTTTAATTGGAAACATACACGCTCTAACTTATTTTTCACAAAATTCCCGCCTTTAGAAAAAATCATTTCAAATTCTGCATTTTTTTATGTGAAATAATCTATATTGTCAAGATCGGATCGGATCGGATCGGATCCGCTAATTGAAAAATTAACTTATTTTTCTCAAAATTTTGTAAATTTTTTTTTTTTTTTAACACAGCCCAGCCCTTGGGTCCATTCCACTCTTGACCATTTCCTTTTTGGGGGTTAAAACTCAAGTGGATTTTTAAAAATAGGGAATTATAACATGTTTAGAGCATCTCCAATGCCATTCGAGATAAAAATACTTCTCTTAGTTAGAAGTGCTTTTACACGAAATTGGATCGATGTACCTTCCTCTGAAAACACTTTTGAAAAAAGAAAAAAAAACTCTTTTTCAATTAATTTCTAAGCAAACGTTAGAATAATTACATCAACAAGCTTGTCTATAAGAAATAAAAGTGAAATCATAAACCATGTCCTATGTCTACTTATCTAACGAGAACCATGCTACACAAACATAGATGACGATATAGGGGATGATCAAACACACAAACATCGAGGATCGGATAATATTTTATTCACGCGGGATCCACAAGCAATGTGAAGATCGAGCACCTGTGATATCAACCATTTTTGGGTAAAATGACTTTACCCATCTAACAAAATCTCTACATTTAGGCCTTTGTCTAGGCATTGCCTATTTTGACGTTGTCACATCAAAATTTGATAAGAATCCTTGTCAGTTTAAATGGGAGACTTTTTTTTTTTTTCTCATTGTCTATTTCGCTTATTTGACAACTTTCAAATAATTCATGATTATAATGGAGATGCTCTTAGTCATTGACAAAACAATGTACCATATATCACTTTTATGTAATACTGAATATACAACATGTTCATCTATGCTCAAGTATTTGTTTATGAGAGATTGTTTGAAGTGAAAACGACTTTTTAGAATATGCCAAACACATACTAATTGTAAACTATACTCAAGAATATTACACCGTGATACTTATGTTTTTAACGTTCCATTGGAAATACTTTTATTGACAGTATTGTATTCAAAATGCAATAAGGTTTGGTGTATGAACATAAACACTGGGATCATCAATTATAAATGAATATGTCTAAACTCTGTTTGACTTTCATTCTTTTATTTTTTTATTTTTCTTTTTTATGTATACTCATTTTCAATAATACATTCACAAAATAAAATATTTTATATATAAGTTCAAAATTTTTTTTTATTTTTTAATAACATATTCGCTAAAATTTTATTATTTAAAACAATATTTTTTTTAAAAATGACTAAAGTTGTTTAGAGTATTTCACTGACAGACTGAGATACGTTATTGACTTTCCGTGCAACAAACGTCACCATTCATGCCCGTATAATATTTTATGTCAAAGGAAGAAAACGAAACGTGGGACTTTGTGGATCGCACCTTACAATTTTTATCTAACTCTTCAGATTTTATTATAATGTGGTTGTCTTATACTAACATGTTGAATATTTATATATAAAACTATATATGTATACATATTTGTTAAAATTAGACAGAGTTGAATATGCATTACACGTTATTTTGAAATATCTTATAAGTATAGTAAAGGTATATTTAATACCATTTGTTGGGATGATTTAAAGAGCCTCAAATGAACTTAAAAAATAGAAATTTAAGAAAAGAAAATTATAGTCTCAAAACTCAACTTCTATAATTCAATTTTTTTTTGAAATATTGCAAATGAGCAACATTTTTATACTTCTTCTATCCCATTTATATACTGACTTTCCTTATCTTTTTGTCTCAATTATATAGTCCTGTTTGTTTATTGAAAATATTTTATTTTGTTCGTTTACTAATATACCTTTATTTAATTAGTCTAATTATAACAAATTTTTTCCACTTAATCTTGAAATTGTACAAATATAAATAAGGATAAGTTAGAAAAGTTTATGGCAAAAATTGTTGTTTAATAATATTAAATACTCCCTTTGTTCCAATTACATAGGATGTGTTTCATTTTTCTCTTATCCCAAATTTTTCCCACTTAATATGCCAACTTCTTGAAATCATCAAAATACACACATTTCTCATTTCTTGAAAATATGGAACAACTCTCATCAAATTACATCATTCAAATTCTTTATTACTTCCAAAGATAATTTAATTTTACATACTGAAAATTAAATATGGGTAAACTAAGAAAGATTTTAGCAAAAATTAATTTTCCAATGACATTAAAGAAGCTTTCTTAATCGGTATGAAAAACGAAACAAGCCTATATAATTGAAACAGAAAAAGTAAGATTTCTTAATTCGTGTGAAAAACAAAACCAACCTACATAAATGGGACGGTGAGAGTGCTATATTTGGTACATAAGAATTAACTGCTAATACGTGATTTTAAACTCCCATTAAAATTCTTAGATACACAAATAGAAATAAATTCATCTATAATAACTCTAGGTTGATGTAGTTCAAGATTCATCAAATCAAGATTCATCGAGTCTAGATTAATGTAAATATTAATTTATTGAGAATTAATAACCATAATTCATATATGACAAGGATTTTGTAGTATTTATTATACATTAAAAAATAAAAAGTAAACTATTATTGAAATAATTAAATTGTAGTAGGGTTAAAATCATCCAAAAATAATTTTCACTTGATCTTTTAATATAGATTTGTACCTGTAAATATCCTGCACTATAATTTCAAATTTTTAGCAACAATATATTTTTGAGCTCAACCACTTCGAATAATCGAAAATAAATGGGCGAAACGGTATCAGTAACTCCTCCGACGGCTTAATAAGTATTTGAGAAAGAGACCAAGAGACCACGATTAAGGAATGGGAGATTGACCGTTGTAGAGTCGAATTTTTATCCTCTCAAAACTGAATGATCTATAGCAAAAGCTCATACCACCCTTCTAGTACAATTTAAAATATGTAGAAAGAGCGATTAAAGCCGTAAGATGTATATTTATAAAGAGAGTTCCATAATTTGATTATAATAGAGAAATAATAAAACAAATCTAACTTGATACTGGAGACTATTAGCAGCAACAAATCTTGACAAAAATATATGATGGAAAAAAGCAAGGAATCATTGAAGACAAATTGATCAAGATGATTGATGATTATGATGATGTGCTTAATTTTAGGAATTGTTATTTATCTTTACGTATCTAGTTTATTAGTTGTACTATATATTGATGTTTTCTCAATGAATAAAATAACATCTCCCATTTCTATCTTCTTCAGAATTTATTCTTGGTATCAGAGCAGGTTGCAAGCTTCCGCTTTCGACGAACGGCCTAGTGCTGTTCGTCCAGCCAACTTTTTCATTTTTCTTTTCTTCTAGTTTTTTTTTTAAATGCTTGTCCATCAATTTTCTTTTCCTTGTCATCATGATTTCACTTTCCTACACGTAACAATTTGATTCTCACTCCTCTCAAGTTATCTTCCACTATATATATCATTCAAGATCCAGACAATACAAATCAATATTCTACCCGCTCCAAATTCGAACAACACAGCAACAACAAAAATTCACACCAAAAAGCAACGTATGAATCTATTCTCTGAACAAACTCTCAGAAACACAACCCATGTAATATGGGATACACAAGATTAGCAAAAAAAAAAAAAAAAAAAA